CAACATAGGCCCAAGATAGCCAACATATGCCCAACATAGCCTCCAAGATGGCTCAACATAGGGCCAACATAGGCCAACATGGGGCCAACATAGGCCCAACCTAGGCCAACATAGGCGTAACATAGGCCGACCTAGGCCCAACATAGGCTCAACTTGGGCCCAAGATGTGCCCAACATAGACCGCATGGGCTCAACTTGGCCCAACCTACGGCCAAGATGCGCACCAGATAGCTCCACCAAGTCTCAAAGAGAGAGACAGGTGTGTGAGAGAGAGAGAGAGAGGGAGAGAGACAGAGAGACAAAGAGAGAGAGACAGGACCCAGCCCTGCACATACCCAAACCCAAATAGGCCGGCGCCCGGCTGTCAGGCGTAAGCCTCATAAATAATCATAGATTCCAGTATAGACTAGTTGGTGTCGGTTTGTATAGGCTTAGTAGCCACAACAAAAATTCAGCAAAAGAGACTTGTGATCCCATTACAACTCAATGCGGTGTCAATGCGTGCCATCAGGTCATCGATCAGGTCCCAGGCCGGCCGGGCGACCCCCAGCAACTGCCGCACCCCCGGAACGGCACCGGTGCCTGGGACGGGTTCCCTCCTTGAGAAGCGAGACGTGAGGGATGCGAAGGCGCTCCGGGCGTTCTGGCAGGTGCCGAACTCGGAGGCGCCGTTCGTTTCGTGAACTCGGGTTGGCGTGTGTGGAAGGTGTGGGAAGCGGCAGGAGAAAGGGATGAAGAACTAGGAAAGAAAAGCATAAGAGAGAGAGAGAGAAGGCGGGAGAAGGAGGGGAGAGAGATGAGGGAACAAGACAGGCAGGGCGTTTGCAGAAGTGTGGGTGTTTCTTGTCCGTGCGGATGTCTCACGAATTCTCATGAATTCTGCTACTAGTAGAAATGCCCTTTGTTACTAATACAGTAGCTTCTTCTTCCTATTCCTAGTAGTAATGTCAGGAGCTACTAGTAGCTATTTGCTACTAGTAGCTTAAAGTGACTTTGCTTCGAGAGCTGTGACTTCTTCGCTCCAAGCCGCGCCGCGGCTAGTGCCTCCAAGACTGGGCCGGTACCCTCCTAAGGGTCGCGTGGGAAAGCGACACGAGCCGGCGAGCAGGCGCACCATGCAGCGAAAAAAGGGAAGAGGATTCAATGAATACACCGAGACGATTCTTCAAAGAAGAGAGAAAAAGAATTGACTTGGAATTGAACGATATCATGTTTCATGATATTTCCCGACCTGCCCTGCAGGACTGCAGGATCCCTTCGTTTCATTCAACCGTTTTGCGCAGTCTTTCAAGACCTACTGTTGATAGAACAACTGCACCACCGGCCAAACCACCAAAACCATGTCGCATGAATATTGGGGTGTTCATTGGCGTTCTAAATGTTTAAGGTGGTGCCGGTGCCAGTCTTTCTGTCCAATAGTCTATCGAGCGAAGCACTGGTATCCACACCCGGCCAGTTGATTTCAGTGATTGGGGAAGACATCAAGTGGGAAATGAGATGAAATGATTAAGACTATGTCAACATGGAGCTCAGCACGGATGGCATGCGCCCAAAGAGATATCCTAACTCGGACCAAACCATGAATCGGCCCCCTCATGTTGGTTCTATGAACGGGGAATAAAAACAGGTGCGAGAGTGGAAATCGCACGAGCTCCCAGTTCGACCCCCCGAAAAAACTGCACATCGACCATCATAGAGCCAAACCCACCCATTGGCTGGTTCAGGACCACGATGACACACCCAATGGCTGGGTGGTGCGGGGGTGACATGAACCACCTGATCCCAATGGCTGGGTTTAGCTTCTGCAACCAGCGCATGTTCTCGTCAATTGCAAGCCGACTGGGGAAGGGCGTCCTTGAGCTTGTTGGCCGCATTGGCCGTGGTGGCGTAGGATGAGAAAGCAAAGCCCTGGCACCACGATGAATATGCTGAAGTCAAAAAAGCAATAGTTCGCTTAGTTCACTTTCTAACATATACTGATACTGTACATTCAGAATTTATATATCTACTTTGGAAGGCCCACCTATTTGCATATTTTGTGGGATGCGAAGTATGCAGTCTCCAACATCAGTTGACCAATTCAAACAAACGCCTGTGGCTAGGCAAATGATAGAGCAACATAGAGCAACACGTTTCTGAAAGTGCATATCACCCGGAAACAAGCATGCATGCGACTAGGAAGACCCCTTGGCCCAATGGGTTTTGGTCTATTGCTCTTCTTCAGAGGGGTCGTTGGCGGGGTTTCCCGATAGTGCCATAGAATACTCTGGAGAAGTGTGCAGGCTGCTGAGAACTCCGCTCTACGCACGGACCTTGACGGTAAAGTCAAGTGTCAGCAACTTCGTTGAACATTACCTTCCAAGAAAAATTCAAGTCATACCCTTCCAAAAAACATTATACGATCTGCTTCTAAGAATTCTAAGGATGCAAATATATACATCATCTTAGGCCTTCGCCACAAGATCCATAGGTTCTGCTTGACCACTTTCGGTCGACCGCCACTGCGCTCGGACCCCTTCCCTCGCCGCGCCGCGCAGCCTTGGCTCGTTCCATGGGAGACATCTGCGAGGACACCGGCGGCTCGCTACAGAGCTTGCTCCACATGGCTTCCTCGGCGGCTGGAAATGTGGCCCGGTGGAACGGAGGTGGACAACGGGTCAACCGGGTGAGAGGTAAAGAGCAGGTGACGGCAGCTGGAGAGGGGTGTGGGATTTGCAGCTGAGGTGATGTCCTTTGCCACTGCGGTGGTGTGCATAGATCCATGTGTCTTGCACATGTCACATGTCCGTCACACTTTCACCATGATAACCGGATAACCTGGTGTGAGGGCTTTGTGATGCAGAAGGGGTGTTGTCCGGGGTGTGAATTTCACTCCGCTCTCATAGGATGGTTTGTGGGATTGTCCGGTTTGGGATACCGACCCTGCTTCAACCAGGCTCGAACAATGGAGGATTGGCTCGATTGACCACACAATCCTTCGACATGGAGTACTGATGAGTACTGTATCTAGATTGAGTACCACTGAAATACAGCCTCAATGGAGTGAGAGCCATACATACACCACTCCCAAACCAGTACTCGTCAAGACCGCCTTCTTCACAAGGCAAACCATCTACTTTCATCCGAACCTCAAAACAATTGTGGTTGCTCTCCCGACAATTCACAGCCGAAGTACAGTATACAAAATTAGATCGAATTGGCACTCATGAATTTGCTTCCGGCCTCCGTCTCTCCAAAGATTCATCCTTCTTCACTTCCCTCCAGCATCCCACTTCCGGAGGTGCGTTTTTTAATGAATGTTCTTTTGTTCCGTTCTTGTCCATCAATCCAAGCGGCTAAGAGTTCGATCCGCTCCTGGCACTTCTGTTGGACCTGGCACCGGTCACGCTCACCACCGGGTGGCCCGGTAAGGGACCGGGCCTCCGGGTCCACGCGGTCGCCGCTCGTCTGGTCCACCGCCTCGTGCAACTGCACCACGCGGCGATACCTCGCAGCTGCAGCTCTGGCGCGGCAGCGGAAGGAGCAGCAGCACCAGGGTGGCTGTAGCCTTTAAGGGGGATGCTGGTTTTTGGGTGCCCAGAGCCGAAATCCAAGAATGTTGGTGGACATTGGCCCAGGTGAGCAGAGGTACGTGCTGCTTACTCTTCGAAGCATGGGACCACATGGGTTCGACGAAGGGAAGACTCTGTGCCAAGCAAGACTGTGTTGACAGAGACCCACTGTATGAGACAAGAGGATCACACTGATGTACAGTATATCAACTTTCAGGTGCCAAACGCATCAGTAGCACATGCAGCTTGCGGTTCTGAGTTTAGGAGACCAACAATTCGCTATCCCTTTCGAGGGCAAAAGGTATTCCTCGTTGCAGAAGTAAAATCTTGGCACCTCCAAAATCTTCCAAAGGGGGTTGGCAAGACTAATCAATCTACTTTTGTGTGTCGGTTGCTGCATTGAATTTCATTCACATCAAATATATATATATATATCAGATATCAGTGAGTCCAGGGCCAACTGGCACATGTTTCCGATGAAGTCGTCGGTCAACTTCACCAACATATCCTGCTTGCGCAACCCGCATCATCCCTTCATGGAAGAAAGCAAAAAACAAATAGCTCGCAAAAGAACCCCCAACACCACTCGAAATACTCCCATCCCGATGCCTCTCGATGGTCTGCTGCATCTGACGCTGAAGCGCCTCCTGCTGTTGTTGGGCCAATTGGCACCTGCAAGAAAGCGCAAGACATAGCGAGACTAAATCTTTAGTTGATTTCTCTATTTGGGCAAGTTTGGCATGCTGGGCCGGTGTGATTCCTCCATGCTGTTCAAAGTAGTGACCCTCACCGAAGTTGAGCCAAGGAGTCGCAGCAAAACACATTGAATGGAACAAACTCCAATAGTCCTTAGAAGCCTTGGAAGAGGAAACAAAGACACATCAGACACTTTTTGGGTCAGGTTGTTAAGATTGGCCCAAAAAAGACGTTGAACAGGACACTGGGTGTCAATATCCAAGGGATGGTGACTGCGCTGAGGCCCCTTGCTCTCGCCGACACACGGTCTTCTGATCCTCGACGCTCAAGAATCTCAGCCTCGATTGAAAGACTGTGGAAATCTCTAGAACATTCATGAACATTCTAAAAACCGCACTCAGACAAACAGGCGAACCGGAAACTGTATTTCAATGTCTTTCAATATCCGCAAAGCTTCTTCCAACCACCTCCAATGCCCCGCCTCTCCCGGACTTGCTGCAAACTATCTTCACCTGCGACCACATCATGACATTACGAAGCTTCATCAGGATGACGATACAGAGTGACACTGAAATAGAGGGAAAGTCAAGTAGTCAAGTCCATCTCAAGCTTCTAGTTACATGGGGGCCACCATACAGCTTTGTAAGGGATGATGAAGACCCTGACCCTGTCTGGAGAAAAGTAACATAAAAGGCCTCCATACTCCATACTTCCATAAAAATGTTTATGGGACTCCAACTCTCCTCCGTGCTCAAGGACTTGCATCCAAGAAGCAAAACTCTCCACTGGACAGAGTTTCTGACCCAGCCAGCCAAGATATCACTTCAGTCACAAACCACTATGTCACTATGTATCACTGTTGTTTCACCTCCAGGTGATGAGCTCCATTTGTCTGATTGTCAACACAATCATAAAGACGCAACAATACCACTATAGGGTGGTTTTAAAAAAAACACTTTAGGCCACATAGCCGATATATGCCGATATAACGCCAGCCCCGCCCCGCAACGGCAGCCATTCACCACGCTCCGCCGCCTGAATCACCCGAAGCCATGCTCGGCGACTGATTGAAGGCCTCGCCGAGGGCAGGACGTGGTGGAACTGTGGTGTCCTGGGGTTGACGTTGCATGAAGCAAAATGAAGCAAAAGCAAAAAGAATGACCACGGGAATACGTCCCCGTGGAAGACTTGTAGGACATCATCGTCGCCATTGGAGTGGTCATGGGGAAAGAAAGAACACAAACAGGCGGGGGTTCTGAATTTCACACACACCCAAACATCGTAGAAACGTTATCCTGTGTTTTTGTTGCCTTGTCAACATTTGTCAATTGTTTCTGTGAACTTAATGTTGACTGTTGAAAAATGTGCAACTTACCTTACCTGATGGTCAAACATTGGTCAAACATCTCAATACATCTCAATATGGACGGATTATTCACGAACAAGTTCCGAACAGTCCACAGTATTGGAACCTCCGACACATCATCTATGCTCCGCCAAAAAAGGTCGAGATACCTGCTCAAAGCTTGAGGTTCGACCATGTTGCTGCTTCTCCCCCTGGCGGCCAAATTCCCGCATGGCCAGGGTCAAACACGAAGCATGACTCTTCCAATTCATCCACCTGCAAGGATATACATCCTTATACATCTACATAGTTGCTTGGTCTAGGTATGGATCCAAAGGCACATGGAACCTCGTTGATGGCGTCTTGACTTTTATACTGACATAGTGTATATATTATATATAATATATTACTGTATATTATATCTATGTATTATATATATATATATCCGACCCGGTATGATACATGTTCAACAAAACAGCCGGTTGTTTGGAAATTATCCGAATCACTCGTGCCTCCTGGTCCTCAGCCGAGAGATCGAAATGCTGTGGCGAGCGCTCCTGGACCCGAGAATTCGTCAACGGACCGGATAGACATGGTGTATCAGGGTGAGCCTTCTTGACCCTGGGAAGAACAAAAATAAACTGAAACCAGTGGAAACCCATTGATTGGAGGGCCTCACAAGCCAAATGCGCATCTAAGACCTATGCCCCCGCAAAAGCAAACTCGGGTGCAACGTGACTCTTCTGGGCAAACCCTTCCAGAATCGAGACACCACACGGCGCTAGTAGGTTGGAGGCCGTCGCCGGTAGGTTGGAGGCCGGGCCATCGCTTAGTTGGTTGGAGGCCATCGCTAAGTAGGTGGGAAGGCCATCGCTAAGTAGGCGGGAGAGCCATTCCTAAGTAGGTGGGAGGGCCATCGCTAAGTAGCCGGGAGGGCCGTGGCTAAGTAGGTGGAAAGGCCATCGCTAAGTAGGTGGGGAGGCCATCGCTGAGTAGGTGGGGAGGCCATCGCTAAGTAGGTGGGGAGGGCCATCGCTGTAAGTAGGTGGGAGGGCCATCGCTAAGTAGGTGGGCAGGCCATCGCTGAGTAGGTGGGGAGGCCATCGCTGAGTAGGTGGGGAGGGCCATCGCTAAGTAGGTGGGAGGGCCATCGCTAAGTAGGTGGGAAGGCCATCGCTAAGTAGGTGGGGAGGGCCATCGCTAAGTGGGTGGGGAGGGCCAATATTAAGTAGGTGGGAGGGCCATCGCTAAGTAGGTGGGAGGGCCATCGCTGAGTAGGTGGGAGGGCCATCGCGAAGTAGGTGGGAGTCCATCGCTAAGTAGGTGGGAGTCCATCGCGAAGTAGGTGGGAGTCCATCGCTAAGTAGGTGGGAGGCCCGCAGGTGGGAGAGCCATCGCTAAGCAGGTGGGAGGGCCATCGCTAAGCACGTGGGAGGCCATCGCTAAGCAGGTGGAAGGCCATAGCTAAGTAGGTGGGAGGCCATCGCTAAGTAGGTGGGAAGGCCATCGCTAAGTAGGTGGGAAGGCCATCCCTAAGTAGGTGGGAAGGCCATCGCTAAGTAGGTGGGAGGGCCATCGCTAAGTAGGTGGGAGGGCCATCGCTAAGTAGGTGGGGAGGGCCATCGCTAAGTAGGTGGGGAGGGCCATCGCTAAGTAGGTGGGGAGGGCCATCGCTAAGGAGGTGGGGAGGGCCATCGCTAAGTAGGTGGGGAGGGCCATCGCTAAGTAGGTGCGGAGGGCCATCGCTAAGTAGGTGCGGAGGGCCATCGCTAAGTAGGTGGGGAGGGCCATCGCTAAGTAGGTGGGGAGGGCCATCGCTAAGTAGGTGCGGAGGGCCATTGCTAAGTAGGTGGGGAGGGCCATCGCTAAGTAGGTGGGGAGGGCCATCGCTAAGTCTAGCCGGGAGGGCCGGGCCTCGCTCTGGGTCGCTTCGGGCTCCACGGTAAAGCCCTCCATGAGCTCTGCAGACTGGCCGGTGACCAGACTCGCCGGGCACCGCGCGGAGCGTTTCCACCGGGTGTCGCCAAGGGTGTCTTAGATGCTTGGTGATTATGGGATGATGTCATCTTTCATGCACAAGTGCATACAAGTGCATGTGTTCTTTTTGCGCGGGTGTGAGTTGGTCTTTCGAACAAAAAGGCGAATTGTCTTGTTTTCCAAAAGGAGGGAAACATGCTCCTGACAAATCATCAATCATCCTGGATGTACCACTGATGTTCTCCGAAGATCTCACGGTGGTGCCGACAGGCCTTGGAGTTAGTTACATTGTTGGCATAAGGCATATGCAGTAAAAAAGAACTTCTGGCATGATCAACTCATGTCACTGGCTTCTGTCACATCATGTTTCTATCTTTCAGCAAAATTCAAGCCAGCTCATTCACTGAAGCGGCGGAGTGGTTCTCAGAGCCAAACCACATCACCTCATGGCGTGGATTCTACTGCAGATTCCAGGAAGTTGGTCTGTTCAGCACCTACTCAGGCGCTCTCCGCAGATATGTACTGATCCTCCTTCCACCAACCTGTGGGATCCGCTCCAGACAGGTCAAAACACCAAGGCTGGACCGACACTCGGGATGGACTTTTCGATTGGAGTCCAACAACCCCCAAGGCCCCCAAGTGATCAGAATTTGCAGAGACAAAATAGACCACAAAATAGCTATATAATATAAGGACAATCCGACTGGTTTCGAGGCCCTACAAACTCCAAAGAAACAAAGTCCAACCTGATTTGTGTACTGATTGGCCAAAATAGATCGATTTGTGTTATTATATTAAATGGTGACTGCATCGCCCACGGGGCCCCATCCATTTAACACACAGCGACCTCCTGGAGCGCGTCGCCCCGGAAGGCGCGACGGAAAAAAAGAAGTGCGGAGTGTTGGCGCAACAACCATGACTGGACAATAGCACGGAACAAGCACAAAAGAATGGAGAATGCTGAGAACAGCAGCTGCTCTTAGATGAAGACTGACCTTTTTTCAGACCCCCCCCATGTCGTTTTGCCGCACCCTCGCCCCTTGACGGCGCACCAAACGCTTTTGGTCCGCTCTCCAGATCCACAGATATTGTACCCCTCATGCGGGCCAGAGATGGGAGACTGGCGATCTACATATGGTTTAAATCTCTATGAAATGGTGGGGCGACCTATGCTATCTTTGGGAATCTTGACGTCCTAAAGCGGTCGATATCCCATCTCTGACGCTTCAGTGTGGGTGGAAAAATGGGATCGCTTCACGGTCGAGGATTCATTGGAGTTCACCTGGCTCTTCGTCTCAGTCTAAGACGATCCAACCAGGTAGGGAGGTATGGGGCGGTATAGGATTCATCTTGATGAGATTTGCAAGGTAGTTTGCACACCCATGCTATCCCATGAGAAGACTTTAGATTGGGAGTTGTATTTGACGTATTAACGTATTTGGACTCTTGAATCATCAACACTAAAATTTAAGTTTTAAAAAGGATTACATTAACATTTGTATTATATATATACATATATGTATTATACACACATCAACGCGATAAGTTATAATGCATCTCTTGTCTTGAAGCACCAAAAAGCTGGAGGGAAATGCCGCGATGCACCTCGGGCCCACGGGTTGTTCAGGCGTGTGAAGGCTTCGGACGAGTCGGATGCGCTGCGTCGAGTGCATCATAAACAGTGAGATTTGGCCCAAATGGGAAGCAACACGAAACTTCACGAAACAAAGATGAAAGAACAAAACCATTGCAAACAATCGGCTTCGGAGGTCTTCAGGATCAACCCAACCAAATGCAACCAGATCCTATATGTTTCCCTCTGAAACGGTTTGACCCACTGGTGGCCCACCCCTGTCCACCCAGGTCGCCTCATCCAGCGTCTCATCCGTCAAAGATACAAACAGCGTTTGAAAGGCAGTTGGGACCGCTCACACCGCACTGGATGTACTCCGTCCTGCCACGGGACGAAAACGCACGCGGTCGGCAGTTGCCGGCACGTGGTCGGACATACATTCCCCAACCGGCCGGGAACGACGGCTCATCTGGGATCTGGCCCGAGTGATCATGTTCAAAACAATAAACAATCACTTGGCTGTCTTTGTTCACCAAATTACTAGCAGGTTCGATATGGCTCGTTATGGGGGAAGCCACAATTGGCACTCCTGTGGGTCCAAGGACGACCCATCGTCCACTTGGGGGTTCCGGTTGATAGAGGTGTTGTGATGCTCCAAGAAAAGAGATGCTCCAAGCGATTTTATACCTTTTTACACAGACGATTTCACCATTTCATTGAACCTACCAGCATACGTCTATTATAGACATGATCCGTGCAATCCCTGAGCCCTCACCAACTTCGGATGGACCGACTCATCGCACGACAAGACAGACCGCAGTAGGGTGGAGCCCAGTAGGGTGGAACACCCTCCCAAGCCGGGCACCGGTTCTAATCCCGAGTACCTATTAAAAACGGACCCCCAATTAAAAAAATGTTATGTCGGATCCCCCTAAATATGGTTTATATTTGTGTTTAATTACCGCCCTTTCAAGCCGATACTAAACTACCAACATGGCCGATTTTGGAGGGTTTTTTCTTATTAGGTTCCAAAAACAACCGTAACTGCCCACCTCTGTCCGCCCTGTCTATCCACCATGACACGCCGCGCTTACACCAGCAGGCTTTCCTTCCCCCAATGGCACGGACTCACGCAAACGCACTTGCCACCGAGGTCATGCAACACCGCATGGCACAGCGACATCACCTTTCGAAAGCTTTAGCTGTTAGTCTACTGAAGAATCACTATTCTAATGAAGGTTTTTGTAGGGGAAAAAAGACCCTTCGATCTGGAGGTTTTTTGCATTTTTGATACGAGTTTAATAAAGGATTTTATATAAACCTTTACTGGATTACTTTTTGGTTTTGAAACTCTTTCCAGGTAAGGTTTGGCTCTGACTCGGGGTGTGAAGTGTCCCCTCACCTCCGAGTTAGTTACAGCCGGTTAGCCTTAGGGCCGCGCGACCGTGCGGGCGTGCATGGTCACTGCGGTTCGATCTTTGATCTACTACCTGATCCCGATCTTCTTACTCTGTCTGCCACTAAGACCTGAAGGTGAAACGCCTCAAAGAACCTGGGTGGCACAGGAATCGGAGAAGAAGAAGACAAGCTGCAAGGAGAACTTTGAGAACCTGGAGTCAAGGTCTCAAGGTAAGCCACCATCGTCTGAGTGGTGCAATAGCACGTATTGTTACGCACCACGGCAGTTCCTTGCCGGGCCAAATACTGTATCCACAATGCCTCTCAGGTGGATTTGCCAGTGTGGTCAGAAGAATGCCCCCAAAGCTCTCTATTGTCTCTACTGCGGAGAGCACTATACGGCAGTAGATTGGAAGCGAGATCGGTCAAAATCTCAGAAGCGGAAAGAGCAAGACCCATTCACGCCTCCTACCAGGAAGGAAGCCAAGAGCAAGGGGAGATCACAGACCACACCAGCATTACCACCCTCGCTGAGACTACCACCACCGCCAGCTCCTCCAGGTGGGGTAGAAGGCAACGCCGCTACAGTGGATATTCAGCAACACCTGGCAGCTATCAGAATCTATTATGGGACTGCAGCGACTTCGAGCTTGGCAAAGGAGATTCAAACCCTGGAGCAGAGAGGAGAATCGAGTCCCCGCCTGACACATGGGCATCTTTCCAAACTTGGGAAGGCGCAAAAGCAGGTGGAGCTCTGCAAACAGGAAGTGCAAAAAGTCGACAAAGACTGGCAGGCCTTTGCCTTAAAAGCGAAGAACAGCATGCAAGAGCGATGGGCAGTTTATCAACGGGACAGAGAGAAGGCCAAAGCTGCACTTGTCGAGGCAACAGAGAATTTGAGTTTGCTGAGGACGCAGGTGAAGCATGTAGCTTCTGCACTGAGGACAGATATCAGTGTGGAAGAAGAGGGGGAAGCAATTCCCACTCTCGAGGAGATGCAGAGGATGCTTGGCAAAATCGAGGAAGCGGAGCTCATCGACGACGACGAAATGCAAGAAGACATGGAAGAAGAGCTGGTCAGTTGCTTTGAGAGCATTTCGAAGAGCCATTCCTCGGTCGGGCAAAGCTGCAAGTGCTGCATCGCCTCCAAAGGGAGTCAAACAGACTCGCTTGAAGCAAGCTGTGGAGAAAAAGGAAAAGGGGGAGAAGGCAGATGGAGATCCAGCAGAACACAAGTGACTTTCAGCCATGATGGATGGGGATACTATCATGTTGCTGAGCGTTGTCAGAACGGTCCATCGGCGCCGTTTTTGAAGGCACGCCTTTGGACGGATAGCTATAACTGCTGGAGTGAAGGTCCATTCGGCCGTCCTTTCCTTCGAACAACCAGAGAATTTCATAATGCAGGAGTAAAAAGATATGAAGGCCTTTATAGGCACTTCCAGGCTTCCTGTGCTACTTCGTGCCCATGATTTTCCACAATGTTTGGCCAGACGTGAGATGCCAAAGAGCGGTTCTTTCGAGACGCACTCAAAGGTCAATGATTCAAGACGGGGGCAGTGTCATGCTGATGATTTCGCGGATGAAGTCGTCGCACAAGCAATCCTCTTTTGCTGTCTTGAGTTGATCGCTTTACTCGGATCTGGACTTTACGCATGTTGGGAAACCTGGTGTCAGTTTAGGGTAGACAGAAGAAAGCCAATTCGAATTCGATCGAACAGATATCATGGAATAACAAGAAGGCAAGTGAAAGCAATAGTCTTGATCTTCCTTTGCTTGGACTTCGTGGGTGTCAGGGCGAAAATCCATGCCGAGACTTACGCGATGTCTTCTGCTATTCAATCGACTAGGAGAGCGGACAGTACAGCTCATTTCGAGGCCGACCATGACGTTGCATCATTCATGGAAAGGCCTGATTTGAGTGACTTGGCATCACTTCGAGAAAGTGAAATTGGGCCTCATGGTTCCCAAATGCATCGTACAGCTGTGCATGGAGCAGTGGTTTTAGGACGTGAAGCCGAGATTGGTGACCTATTATAAGAGCATTTTTGACCGAATCTGCGGTCCAACTGCCAGTGATGGATCCTCTGGTGGTGGACACATATTTTGTGTCCAAGATGCATCGAATCACTAGGACACCAAGGCAAATAAGGTTCTATCAAGCCCTGAGCTGGCAGAACGCACTCATGGCTGCATGGCTTCCGAGTGGAGATAGCAGCTTCATCACTGTTTTCATTGCGCAAATGCAGCATTCGAACGTGCTAGAAGGTCCGGATTTGCTTATTATTCCTAGAGAAGATGATCTGATGCACGCTAGACCTCTCTTGGTTGACGTCATGACGCATGTCATAGTGCGATGTGGGGTTTGGGTTGAGCAAGATGCCAAGGTACGTGACATTTTCTTAGGTACGGAGTTCGACCCTTTCTGCAACCAGCATTGCCAAATGTCTTGTTGGAATGGGAATGATTTTGTGACGTTTGATTGGGACGATACTGTTGAAGCACGGGCAGGTGCCCATTGTAGGTTAAGCCGTGCTATTTCTTGTACAGATGTATCCAGAAAGCGCAAGGCAGTTTCGCTTGGTACGACACTGCTGCAGAATGGTACGAAGATGCGCACAGAAGAGCAGAGTCTTTTTCAGATCGATCTCACAATTCACAACCTGTTCCTAGAACAATTCAATGCCGTCTTTGAGACACGAAGGTTCCTGAGATTTATCCGTCACGGGAGAGATTCCATGGAAAGGAGATTGCTTTCTCGTCAGGTTCCGGTCTCGGAGAGAAATCGTGCTTTTACTGGAGAGTCTTCACGAGAAGAATAATACCAATCACAACCTGTAATGCACAGGCAAATTTCAGAGCTGAAGTTCAGTTCCTGTTGCAGCGCAGACATAGGAGTGTGTACTTGCATGTGCACATTCCTACTGACGGTCACCAACCACACACAGCGGGTCTTGTCTGGGACAACACGTGGAATCAGGAACAACTAGTGCCTTGGGTTCGACTTCAAATGGCAGACTCGCGGACACTGCCAAGCTGTGGTGGGTCGAACCTCAACCCGCACCACATCAACAACATGGATTGGATGATGTTCACATGATTCTCTTTGTGCCAGTTGAGGGACATTTTGCTGCGCTAGTTTGTGTTGATCGGTCATATATAGAACCAAACAAGTATACCCTTATAGCAGGGACATTTGCATCGCCTGTCACACGGAAACATATAATCGGATGGCTGCGCCTTGATGAGGATTGTAGTCGACTGATGTGCCAATTCTTGTTAGGAGGCATGCAAATTGATGAAGAGATCCTGCCGATAAACGCTGATGGCTATCGACTGGACGTGGTGTTGCAAGATCACTCTGGTGACCATTCTTCTGTCCAAGGTCGTAGGATTCAGTCACCGGAGACAGCAGAGACAGAAGATGAAACAAGGCTGATGCAGACTGCAGCGGATCTCTCAATCCGTGATTTGTCGGCAGACCTAGATACCATTTTGCGTGCTTTACGCAAATCCTTTCACGCATTGCAACCTGGACAGACATTTACTGTACAGGTAGTGTCAGGAGATGGGTTTGTCATTAGGGATGCGCTGGCCAGATGTGAACGGAACTCTATATCAGATGAACGTGAGTTCAGACAATGGTTAGAGCCTTTACTGTCGCCAAGTTTGAGGGGTCCTATACGAGGTTTTCTCGGAAGAGTGAAATTGGTGCCGGAAGCCCCTCTCTTGATAGTTGCAAGGCAAGGCCAGCCTCGACAAATTCCATACCTGGTTAAATATCGTCCGGAAGGCCTCTCCACTTTGACGCAAATTGTTCTGGTGACGAAGGTCAAGCAGGTGACTGACTTTGTGGCAGAAATCGACAGACAGAGCTATCTTGCATGGGCTGGAAAGGATTGTGCATATGAGGTAGATGGACGATGGGTGGAGCCATCATTTCAAGTTGAATGGATTCCTGCGACAGTGATCAAGATATTCCA